TGCTGAACGATGGGGTCAAAGTGTAATCCATCAGTTCTCTATAGACGATTTACAGTCTGTCCATTTTCTAGGAAGCTGGAACTCAAAGGGCAATTTATAAGTATTGGCACATAAACAAGCAGCTGTGGGACGTGCTAGGTTACAAACTTCCTTTCTGTGAAAAAGGGGAAAACGATCTTCCATTTGCCATGGAGTAAATATTTGTAGCTTTTTGTATTTGTAGTGTGAATTGATTTGAAGTAGGAAATCTGTAATTACTCAGCATTTTACATCAGCTTTGTACACGTATGTGCACAACCTTCTTGTGTGCAGAATCAAGGTAGAAAAAGTGTTTTAGGAACCAAGTCTTGATGAACTCCTTGTTCTGACAAACTTCCCCTGGGTTGATACGGAATTGAGCAGATGAAGCATGGGGAGAAATGACTGAAAAGGTTCTTTTTCAACTTACTCTTAAAAGTTGGTTTTTGTTTGCTTTTTGTGGCTTTGTTTACCAACCAGGTTATGCTTTAGGAGAAGCTACTTCTGACTGTACTCATATGATTCTCACTTGCAGCAGTGTTATGTAACATTTTTTGCTATTTATGCCTCACAGGTTTTGCTTTTGACTTAAAATTTGTTTAATCTCTCAATAGAATCGAAAGAATGATGAAGCGTCTTATGAGAAGATGTTGAAATTAAGAAGAGAGTTTAGCAGAGCCATAACAATTTTAGAGATGATTAAGAGAAGAGAGAAAACAAAACGCGAGCTATTGCATTTAACATTAGAAGTTGTTGAGAAAAGGTAAAATTACAAATTATATCTGTCAGAAGTCATTTGTAACACCAAGGTTTTAATTTTCATCAAATAGGTTTGAAAGTGTCTCCTATAACTTATTTCTGTATGGATGCTAGTCTTCTGCACTCATGCATGGCTGAAGACTTACATAGCACCCTAAACTTCAGAAGCTAAAACAGAAGGGTTTTACACAGACTGTTTGCCCTTTTTGTGTCTTTCAAACATTTCCCAGTGGAAATGCAGTATTACATTTTTAATCGTGTTTCTTGAGGTACCATTTGGGTGATTATGGAGGTGAAATCCTCAATGAAGTGAAGCTTCATAGACCTGAAAAAGAGATGAGCACAACTCCATCCGCTCTTCATAATGGAAATCACCACAAAGTTCAAGAATGTAAAGTTAAGGTAAGCTTTCTTCTGCTGCGAGTCTCTTGTCAGCATTCTTCTGGATCTACCAGATGCAGACGGATATACAAACTGCAGATGCAAATTGGATATACCAATGCAGATGTTTGCATTGGAAAAGTGAGTAGGAGGCTGCCATACTTGAAGGTAGGAGACCAGGAGAGTACCGTGCTAGCTTCCAGTTTAACGTTTGCTGTCTTTCCTGCCTAAGTTTCAAAACAATTGTGTGACATTGCTGTTTGCTTTATTTTCCTTCTGTCCCTTTCATTGTAAGGGAGACTAGAGCACTGAATTTTTCTGATAGTGTTGTCCACGGGTACTGACTGGCCCTCAGTGCAAAGATAGTCCTGAAAATACAGGATTTTACTGAATTACAGCTGGAGTGTGCCAAAGGATTCCAGAAACTATCCTGAACTGTTTAAGTGATCTTTGATTAGTAACATTTCCAGGCACAAGAATGCAACTGTTCTATCTTGTTGACAGCTGAAAAGAGTTGCAAGCAACTAATGTTTTATATAAACACTTACTGGAATTTGTAGTAGTTTGTTATTACTGAGACCTGTACGCTTCTCAGTAATGCTGAGTAGGCATTTTTATATCTACCAGGGCTTGGCCCTCAGTATTAGGTAAGGAGCAAACATAGGAAGGTGGAAGAAAGAGTGGTTAAATTCGGGAGCCTTTAGTTTCTGCAAACGGATGGAAGGCTGCTTTGGGAGAATAAGTACAGAAGGATGTTAGACCGAAGTTGCTGTGTGTCACACACGAGTTGTTTTGTCTTTCTAAAACTAGCAAAGTTGTGGAATGCCGTACTTTCTGCTGCTTTGACAAAGTCTTCCTTTTACATTTTTTTTTTTTGAATCTGTACAGAAACCCAGTGGATCTAGTTTTATTTTTATAATTGACCTTGTTAGTAACACTCGGAGAAATAGTAATATAAGAATAATCCATAGCTAGAAATGTTAAACTTCAATGGTTTTCTTTTTTCTTGTCTTATGAAGAAACATTTTCCACTCAAAAAAAAAAAAAGAGAAAAAAAGTACCTCAAAGGGAACTCATTCTGTCACTGTTCATATCCAGTACCAAATTAGATCATAACATTTTATATACGCATCACGGTCTTCCTGCTAGGACAATCTTTACCTCTGTGCAGATGTTTTTCCGGAGGACTGTAATTTACCATGACTCTGGTTTTGTTGGTTCTGGTGACATGGGGTTCCAGTAGGATTAAATGAAAGACAGTAGTATAGTCATAATCAGCTTACGCTACAAGCAGCAGTACTGACAAATGTACCCATCTCAGGTTGATGTTTTTTAAAATGACTGCTTAAGAATAAAGTTTGGGGTTTTTTTCTTTTGCACTTAATATGGGCATTAATTGCAAAATTAACTGCGTCCAATCTTAGCAGAATTGCATTATTACAAATGGTTGTTCTGCTTGTCTCGTGTCTACTTCTTCATATCTTTCCTTTAACTCTTACTTAAGCCATAAGTATCTTTAGTCCTTCTTAGAAGCTAACTTTGCTTTAAAACATGAATACTAGATAGTCATGTTTTTAAATCAAACAAAAACCTAAAACAAACCAAAACCCAAGTTTCCACTGCAAGCTATTTTAATGGCATTGTTATAGTTAAGCTCACTGAACTGAGTACAGTATAGAAAAAGGATAAGACCTGATGTTCCACTGTTAATGCGACAGGAAAAAAAATGCACCCAACTTTGAATAAAGACAGGTTTTTTAGGAAATAACCTGAAATAGCAGTTGTTATAAAATGCTTGAGTGTAAGGCTGGTGAATTGAAGACCACCTGAAATTTGTATTTAGCACCCACGACACCTAGTGGTCCCTGGAGTTAATACAGATCCCTTTTGCCTTGGTTCTGGTGCAGGGATTTTGTTATGCCGTGTGTTTCTCATCTCCAGTCATGAGGCTGAGCTCCATTACTGGAGTTCATTTCAGTCAGACGGTTATTGATAAGTGGTAATTTGGGGTAAATTTAAACACTTTTTCAAAACTGCACCGGCTTTTACTTGTAATTGAGTATTTTGCAAGTGAAGTAATCTTCCTTTTAATTTAAAAGCTTTGAAGTTTAATAGCATTTGTGTTCAAGTGAACAGTTTAATATTGATGGAGTTGCTTACTACAGAGTTTTCATATTGGCAAAATCTGAAATAGCAAAACTGAATAACATTACATCTTTTCAAAAATATAAACTGAGAAACGTGAAACAAATCGGATTG